AATGCCGAGGTAATCAGCTGTTGGAGATTTTACCGAGCTAGATTAAGTGTGTGTACAGTGGGTTTTTACTATGAGGGTTTGACGTACCGATACTGAACTGCTGCCGTTGATTCTGCTCCGCCGAAGACTACTCTGCCGATGTGCGAGCGCTCGCCGATGATCCTACGTACGACGAGCTTGACGTCGGGCGAATCAAGCCTGACAGGGTGGTGATGTTTGAACAACAGATCGACTTAACTTGATGGCGATCTGCGGTCTCCTGGCGTCTACCCTCGTTGACAAGAATCGCCAGAGTCCAGGCAAGGCCGGAGTGACTCTGCTGAGAGGGGTCCTCTTTTGCGTTTCGAGCCGTCTTGGCCCGAGGAATGCGGCGATTTTGACCTTGCAATGCCAAAGCAAAATGATATCCTTTACTGTTAGGATTAATAGCCACTAAGGACCAATAATCCGACTCGTGGGCTTCCTGACCGACTTAGTCGGTTGGTTCACAAAATGGCGCTGTACCGAATGGTACCACAAAAAGGTCCTGTGAGGGCAACGGGGTTTATTTTTATTAATTGTCATACTGGTCTATGGTCATTCGATTAATGTTAGCTATCGGTAATTAATTAGCCAAGCCGTATTACCTGATTGAACAGATAGATATTCCCGCGATTAACCACTCACTTTGTATTATTTTAAGGACACTTGGTTTTAACGATTCGAAGCACACGAGCGCCAGATACTGATTGAGGAATGGCGGTTTTCCTTCGCGCTTTTCCTATCCCATTACTCTTCTCGTGAGACGTTATTTTCCCATTTTGAAATCACAATTTCGCTCGAATGTTGTTGTACCCACTGATAGAATGCTCATACCCACTGTACTGTTGTACGGTTTTATACAATTTTCAAATTTAAAACAATTAATCCTACTTACAAATTAACAATTTTATACAACGACTACTAACCCTACTAATCCAACACCAAATAACCTTAAGAGACGTGACGGTACATTTAACAACTATGCACAAATTAAAAGTCTAATATGTTTTGTAACAAACGGTTACAGGCGAGAAGGGATGGAATTCGATTTTGAAATCTGTGTTAGGGAAAGTGCTTTATGCAGGCAATCGGTGAAAATTTTGATCACCATTGCAACAGTTTGACATTTGTGTAATATTCAATAACTGACCTGTGAAGTGTTCATTTAAGCAGATTCGTAGAATAATTTTCAATTGATTGGCTTGCCTAGAATTAAATTTCATCCACTATTGACAGAGTTATTAGTGGTCAAAACTTGACCACTTTTCGTAAAAGATTTTGGTTTGTTTTTTAATTGCATCCCCAATATGTTGCTGAAAGACGTAATCCTACGCCGAAAACAGAGATTTCAGATGTCCTCAAGGAGGTGTCCTTTCTCCTCGTCTATGGTCTGTTGTAATTGATGATCTTGTAATAAAACTAGAATCATAGGCTTTGAAGTAATTGGGTTTTCTGATGATATATTATTGTCCGTGGTAAATTTGATAAAACTGTCTGTCAAAGAATGCAAACAGCAATATATTTTAGGGTCGCATGGTGTAAAACTGAAGGATTTAATAAAAACTTCCTTCAACAGTCTTTACTTACAAGGCTAAAATTCTCGGTTGAAGTGAAGTTTCTAGGAGCTATTTTGGATAAAAAAAAAACTAAGCTAGAATTCACATTAAGAGCAAGTAGTAAATAAAGCTAAGAATGCTCTTTGGACAACTAGACGAACGATGAGAAGACAATGGGGTTTGAAGCCGAACATGATCATGTGAATATATTCGATCCAGTTAAACCAAGAATTACTTACGCTTCATTAATTTGGTAGCCTAAAACAAAACATAAAACAAGTCACATAGAACTTGAAAAATTACTACTGGCTACTATTTCCCTAACTATGCGTAGTGAACCCACTAAAACCTTAGATGCTATACTTAATATTTTTCTTATAAAGGCTGACTAAAAGTAAATTGGTACGCATAAAAAGACCTGTAATTCGTGATTCACTAAGTTCAAATAGTCCATTAATGGTCGCTCTACAGTTCTTTTATTAAAACTTCAAAGTCACAGCATTAGATGGTTACATTTCCCCAGTTCGACAAAATCTCTAACCATCCTCTTGATGGAGCCCATCAGCGCCCGCACAGTGGAAACGGACACGGAATCAGCGCATTTCTTCCATTTTGCCCGCATTTGCTGAATGTCCTTGACGGCCCCGCCGCTTCGTCGAAGTCGCTGCTTTGAAATTGCCTAGTATTTTTCGATTGGTCGATATTCCAGGGTATTCGGAGGATTCATTAGATTGGGGACAAAATCGATCTTGTTGGCAGCATACCACTCCAGAATCCCCTTGGAGTCGTGGCAGCTGGCCAAATCGGGCCAAAACATGACTTTGTCTCTATGCTTGCGGATGACCGACAAATACACGCTTTTTCAGGCATTCTTCGATGTAAACTTGCGATGTCATCATCGAGGATGTGACGAATGGTTTCGTTTTCCGGCCGCAACTGCAAATCACGGTCTTCTTCGCGAACTTGTCGGTAAACACGAACTTGAATCTTCTCAGCACATTCCCACGTCCAGTTGCGATGAAAACTTTTGACCGGGAAGCTGCTTAAAATCGAGTTTGACGTATGTTTCGTCATCGACCAAAGTGCAGCCCTTGTGTTTCGTCAACACACGGTCGTACAAGAGCCTTACTTGCTTTTTGGTAACGGAATTCTGCTTCATGTGCCGGTTGGGATGTACGACTTGTATCCCTCCCTAACAAGGATGTTTCCGCATTCCGTTTGAAAGTTGGCGTTGTACCTTCTGGACACATCTCAGATCGAAAGACCGGGGTTGGCTTTAACGCACCTCAACACCTTGCTGCACAGCGGACGATTCCTGGTTCCAGTTTTTTCGTAGGTCCACTGATTCCTTTCCCCACTCAGGGTTTCCTTGTAGGTTTTGAGCACTAGACTAATTGTTATTTTCTTCAGCACTTAAGCCAGCTTGAAACCCAGGTGTTAATAGTTTTTCCTGTTTCGAGTTCCATTTGACGTTATTTCTAAACGCGACCGACTACTTTGATCAAACTATGACAATGGCGTACCAATTTACTTTAAGTCAGCCTTTACATCAATTCATTCACTTGGACACAATGAAAAATGCTTGAAGACTCAGACGAACCACAAAGCTTCTATCAGGTGATCTTATGGGCCACATGAGTATATTAAATGAGTTTAAAATAAGTCCATTAGTATTGAGTTATGAAGATTATATGCCTAAAAACATTATCATACGTTCACAGTGTTCAACTTCATATACGTCTAGGATCATTGATATTTTATACTGCCCGCTCAAAACAAGATGATACAGTGGGAGCATGATTAACAGGCCCTGACCTTAACTCTTCAGTGCAAATGAGTAAATGACCTACAGCAGTCCCTGTAATGTAAAAATGCAAACATTTGCATTTTTCAGATAGTGACGCAGCATTAAATGCATTAAAACCAATGACTTAAACCTCAAAACTTGTGTATGAATGCTATGAACTATTAAAACAATTGTCCTGTCACAACAAGCTAAATCTTTATTAGGTCCCCGGTCATTGTGGTATTGAAGAAAATGAAAAAGTTGATGAACTAGCGAAGTTTGCACACTTAGAAATAACTACTTTTACACGAGACGTAATCCTTATAATACGTAACGTAAACAAACATTTCACCAATCTTCAGCCTTTCAACTTCTTCACTTACGTTTGAATTCAAATCTTGGGAAAATACAAAGGTGCAATCCTACTGGAAGAACACCTCTACTGCCTGACAATCGAAACGTTTTATAAAGCTCCATGCTTTAAATACACAAAGATTACTGAATCTCTCCAAAAAAAGATTTATGCACCTTCATAGGTTTAATTACAGGCCATTTAGCAAGTATAACCTGAAGCTTATCGTAAAACTTCGTGATCACAAATGCCGTTTTTGCTAGAGGGTGGAAGCTCTGAAAATTTATTGTAAAACTATATTGCACTATTGAATAAAAGGTACACATTTCTTGACAAAGGTATTTTAGAACCTCATGAAATCTGTGCCAGCGCTCCCAATAATGTGGTCCACTTCATACAAGTTAGAAAGATGTCAATCAATGATGATGACCACTCATATAGTGGTTTATTATCATATCACACGGCATAAAGCAGAGAGAATATACCTCAATAGATCAAATCTGGTCGCAATGGTCAATGTCCCCAATACAGGTAAGAAAAAAGGAAACACTTTTCTAAAACAGTAAATTCAATTACACAAATCACACTTCAATCGGACAGTGACAAACTACTCATCATTTTCAGATATCGTCGTACCACACATGATTCACCCGCCATTTGAATCATAGAGAAAATAAACCCCCGCAAAAAATCTGGCACCCCTTCCCGCTTCATGGCCGCAACTAGTTTTTAGTTTTTCCTTCTCGTTATTCCTACCGTTCTCCGGCGTTTTTTTTTCTCATTACTTCACCATACCAATAGCCCCCACACCACTAGACAAGCAGCAGCGGCAGCGTCGCCGAACGCTAGAAAGAGACCGCACGAAAACAACCCATTTGCCGGCAGCGGGAGCGGGATCGCGCTACAGATAAGTGGATTTGACTGACGAAAAAAAAAACGACGAAGCCGAACGGAATAGAACTAGCCTAGATGATGATGGAGGCGATTGCCGCTTATTGTAGAGTAGAGCCCCCAAAGTCAATTTGACGGACATTTTGGCATTTGAATTGTGTTACACGCACACAACAAAGAAACACACATGCTCGTCCGTAGCTTGGCACGCTTGTGTACGCAGCTCACGCGATTGATGATTCGTGGTTTTTTTTTGGAGCTTAGGCTGCCTGAAATAGGCCACGCCTCTTGACCGAATTTCGTGGTTTTCGGTTTTTCGGGTGGGCGGGCTTCCATCAATCACGCTGAAGGAAAATGGGGTATGTTTTGATAATTTGAGGGTGAGGGAAATTACCTTAATCTACTGGAATGCCTGCCTGGGATCACAAACGTGTTCGTCCAAATGCACATTGATTGTGGGAAATTCGCCACTGCTTTTCAAATTTAGGAAATTCACCACGGAAAACACGCACTTTGATCGGGGATCATCATCACAAACCATTCGGTCTAGTTACGGTTGAACACACGCACGTACACTATTACCAACACATGCACACAAACGCACTGCTGCTGCCTGCACACTGCTGATGGGCTGTCAAGTGCTTTGTTTGTGTTGGTGTTCGTCGTTCCGATCGAAAGGGGGGTGGGGGTAGGCGAGGCGAAACGAAGTACCGAACCCGAAGGAGGTGGTGTGTGGGCAGATATTCACCACTTGTAGCTCACCCAACGACGACGAGATCGAATGCGCGTGTCACGACCCGCGTTTTTTCTTTCACGAATCTGTCACGAACGATCAGTTTTCCAATGTAAACAAAAACAAACCGCGAAAATCAAGGCACTCTACGATCTAGCAGCGACGGTGAACAGAAAAAAAAACCTCGCGCGCACTCTGCTTTTTCACTTCTCGGCGTTTCGAAAACTTCACCACAACTGTTTTAGTGTTGGCTGCTGCTGCTCCGCACAACCCCGAACTATACGCGGCGCGTCGACCGAGTGCAATTGCAGTTTGCACCAGCAATAACAACAACAACAACAACGACAACAAAGCAAGCGAACGAAACGAAACGAATGAACGAAAAATATGCAACAACTGACAACTGGCTCTTGCCAGCCTCTAGGTTACGGAGAGTTCTCCTACGAGGTGGCAGTAGGCCAGTCCGCTCGTTGCTACGAATTTTGTAAGGTTTCACCTCCTATGGCCTTCGATTGCGCCGCCTAGGATGCGATTCGGCAACCGGTGATCGATTCCACTCATCAATTTTGGCCGTTTGTTTTTCCGATCCGAAAATCACTGGTTCGGTACGTGACTGCGGTGGAACTTGTGCGTGACACCTCCGGCAGGCCTTGGACTAGCGTGAAATTGTCATGGTGCCCGTATCTTCCTGCGCTGTCAGCCCTCCCCCTGGAACTAGGTTCTACTTTATCACGCTATATTTTTCATCATTCCAGAAGCACAACAAAAAATAGTTAGACGATATAATTTTTATATGACAGCTCTGGGGAGGAAATAGAGTTTAGGAATGAGCGTCGCGGAGAAAAAAAATTGGTTCAACTATGCACACACATATAGGGTAAATCCGTACACATGTAGAGCGTTCCTTACAATTTTAGAGCGACTCAGTAACTAAATCTACTATGTACATGACACATAGAGCGAGGCGATTGTAACCTTCGGCCGCCCCTTGCCTGCTGCGATCATCGTCACCCATATCGACAAGCCCCCCTCATCTGTCATATAGGAGCGGAGTTCTGCGCCTGCTGTGGTATTGGGGAGGCCTCCTAAGCCACCCATCCTCGCTCGCTCTCACCCAAACTCGGGGGAGCCATGTGCTGTTGTTACTGCTGCCACCCAAGTGTATGGGTGAGTGCCCGCCGGAGTGTGGGTCCTCCTCCACATGCAGAAAAGAACGAAAATAATCAAACATAAAAGTGCATATTGCATTTTATTAATCTCTCTCGCTTGCTCCAATCCGTCTTCCATCTAGTTACTTCTGCTCACGACGACGAGCGGACGAGGATCTCAAAACCAACACGTGCAAGCTGTTTGTCGTCGTCGTCGCTCAAACCCGATCCACCCGAGGGGGATGAGAACTCACACCCTCTCTTGCTCCACCATCATCTTGTTTTTTTGCTGCTCCTTCGCTCTGTGTGTAGGCGCCTCCTCGCCATACTACTTACCTACTGTTTTTAATGTGAGTGAGTGCATCTTTCTTATTCCTCCCTGCCTGCCTCCGGCTCATGCCGGAAAAGACGGAGCGTTATTACCATCATCAATATCATCATCATCATCATCAACATCATCATTATTCGATTGAAAGATCCCAACCGGCGCACACTATGCGGAATTTTGAAAAATGTACGATTCCCTTCATGACCATTGTGTGACAGTTGGTGAACGCAACTCACCTCAGCAGCTGGAGCAGCAAACTCACCACACACCCACGCGATCTTCCGGCAAACTTCCCGAGAGCACGTGGTTGTTGGTATCTCCACCTTGCAATCGGACCGCACATTGATCCACAAACACGGTCACGGCTTCTGCTGTACCTTCTCGGGGTGATGGGGAATCAACAGGTGATGCTGCAATATGCACGCTCTTTACCCACCCTCGACTCGATTCAACAGACAGACGGAAAATAAACTTGGGCGGCCGACGACGACGACGACGACGACGATGGAGGTAAGTTTTGCCTGCACGTTTGACTCGCGGTTGACTTCTGTGATGTCTGAGTCTGGCTTTGAATTGGAGCAGGGAAGATGACATTAGATGGGCTTCGAAAGACGAAGGTCTGACGCTTCCGGATATGAATTTGCTGGTAGTATTTCATTCAAAGGGCATCGAAAATGCATAATTTTACAATGTAGCAGGTTCCGGGTCATTTGACCGAATGCCGTTTGGTCGAATACTTATAAATTACTTCTGAAACTGACAGATACGCGAGCATCAATTTTGACATTTAATTGAATCATAGCAGGCGCAAAATTCAGCTCAATTAAACGTACTTTGCGTCGGGTAACAAGCTGTTCTGTCTATGAGAACATTAGTTTACATGATTTTTTGATGCAGCTCCGGTGCAACTTGCAGTATCGATGAATTTGTTGGTAGGAAGGCATTCGCTTGCTTCGTGCCAGCAAGCATCCAAACAGGACGCTAAATTAGAATCAGGTGGCCAAAGCACGTGCATGACAACTGTACCCTAGAGTGTTTCAGCGATATATGGAAAAAAATTCAAACGCTACCCTCTGGAATGGTAGTTTGGGGGGTCAGAAACCCCTTGTCGTAATTTGAAGTCATTTGGTTCGCGAGAGCCCCTCGCTCAAAGGGGTTGATCTATGTATGGTGAAAAAGCCACTTTTACATTCGCATTCACATTTCTTCGCGTACTAAATGTAGAACCTGTGGAGTATTGGGAACATCTTGGCTCAAGACCGGATGTGAATCCGAGCTACCATCGAAAAGTTATTAACGTTTCAAATGAACGCCACCTGCCTTACTTCTGGGGAGGGCCTAACGTACTTTGTGCGCTTTTTATTGTTACTAACAGGCATGCAAATAGCAGTGTTTGCATGAGTATAGTTTAGTATAGTTAGGATTTTTTCTCAATTATGTACACTTAGAAATAACTAATTTTAGCTATGTTTTCGCCAAGTTGGTTTATTCAACGTTCTCTCCTAGGCTAAATGCCCGCACCTTGGACTTAACGCTACCCTTCAAATCCTGTGCAACACTTGCGCCATCTTTCTTACACACTTTCATCCACTCTTTCTTCAAATCCTTGTCGTTTTTGTCTTGACCTTCGTTGTTTTCCTCAGCTTTCCCTTCATAATCGCCCAGAATTTTTCTATTGGGCGAAATTCTGGCGTGTTTGGTGGATTTGCCTCCTTCGGCACAAATACAACAGCGTTGGCTTCGTACCACTCCATCACTGGTTTTGCATAATGTCACGATGCCAGATCCGGCCAAAACAGAGTGTCACCAACCGGTGGAAACTAACGATTTTAATTTGGCTCACTACATGACTAGCCTGTTGGTCCCAAGCAAATCGATTAAAGTACCTCATTCTAGTCAAAATTCTAGTACAACACTATGTTTGTTTTGATTCGTGTCTCCGCAGCAGCTGAATCGGCAACCCTGCCGAGTGTAGAAGCCCTGCGGGAATGAGTATGCACTAGCCGCTAGCAAGTGTAGAGCTGTCAAAAGCGAAGAAAGAAACGCGTCGATTTAGTTCTGGTATTATTTTTTATTATTAAAAATTTGAAATAGTTTGATTATTTTAACTTTGTACATCTCAATCATTCGCATCATATGTAAGTAACAATCATTAGCTTTTTTGACAAGTAATTACTACATATGTATTAATAACTTTAGTGAGACACAGAATTTCCAACTACATAACCTCATTATCTGGAGGCCTGCAAAGTGGATAAGGCCCACTGTTTTGTAAGATTTGCATTTCAATTACATTTTGCAATATTGTTAAATAAACATTGTTACAATTTCAGCTTTGAAGCGTTATAAATAAAGCTCTCAAAAATCATTGGATGTATTTTCTTTGGCCTCCGGCGACAATTCGCTATGAAAGTTTGACAGATAAAATGAGGGGTTCGTGGATTTTCCTATGTTTCGAGGGGAGCATCGATAAGCTTGGGACCGAAGATAGTACCAGAGCTGAGCCAAAAAGTTGAGCACGTTGACCTTCTGGTCTTAGAGTTACCTATATGCTAAAACACAGTTATGGTGGTAAGCTCCAACCGGTATTATCCTCGGATTAAATCCCGATCAAGAATGTTCAACTGATTTGATGCTGACACCAGACTCTAAGCAAACATTTTGCAGATCATCCAAACAGGGACGGGATTACAAGTTAATCCTAGTTGGAGATTACCGCCATTAGAGTGAACATATACATCATTCTGACTCATCCAAGATTATCAATGAATAGTGGATAAAATCGGATGATATCGGCAGGAACGTGAATCGAATTTTGTTACCAATTGCTCTGGTAACATGTCATTCCAGTTACGAAGTCCACATGCATTTTAATATTCTTCTTGGTTTTTTTTTTATTCATCTTATATATATAGACTATTTGATTACATTCTTTACGCTTTGTTCATGGCTCGTTTTAATATTATTATTGGATTATTTAAAACAACAATAAAAGTATCACGATGAATTAATGGAAACAAAATAATGAAATGCTTCGTAAATTAGTGTTAAGAGTTATGTGTCTTTTTCCATCATGGGATTTGGCATCTCCTCGAGTTAGAGTGAATTCGATGGCTTTGCGTGACAATCGAGGAGGCCCCAAATTATAAAAAAAAATAACTATTTGTAGGGCGCCCATGGCTATACAAAAAAATGGTAAAAGGACACTTAACACAAACTGAACTAAAACCTAAATAAATATCCTTACAAATAGTCAACCAGCACCAAAAATAAAAACATTTGTGAACCTTTGCATGTAGGACAACATATAACAACCAAAAGAAAATAAAACGATGAAACAAACACACGAATATAAAGTACGTGTTCTTAGTTTGTTCCATCGTTCACTTATGTAAACAACAAAGAAGACGGCAAAGCTCCGCAACTAAATTTTACAACCCTATTAAAGTTTACTAACGCCTGGACTGTTCGCATCTCTACCTTATCATTGCCGAATTTGAGAGGATATGGATAATCGCTAATCCACCGCTTCGGGCGAAAAGCGATATCGCCGCATCGAGATCGAGATAATGGATAATGAGAAAGGAAAGAGGAGGAAGGAAAGAGGAAGACCAGGCAGTGGATTTTAGATGCCCGACCAGTGAAGACGTCAAGAACTGTGTAAAATCTCGAGTATTTTTCTCTCCGAGTGCGGAAAATTAAAGGTCTTTGAGACCGACCGCGAGTGTATTCCGCCGTGTTTGTGTTTCTCCTGTTACCGAACCAGCCATGTTACAAGGCCAGCAGTTGCCACTTTTTACCCGCTGCGTGGTAGCCGCGTTTTACCCGCAGGCGCCAGCTGCTTCAAGTTTTTGAACGAACGGACGCCTTCTGAGTATCCTCGTGGTTCCGGGTCAGACAGTGCGGCTACCCCACGTATTCCGGAACATTGAACCCGTTCCCAGCCACGCCAGTCAAGTTTAGAGCATCCGGCGGGACAGAATAGAAGCATCCCCGCGTCGTAGGTTGGGTGAACACGTGACTACGACACGCCTCCGGCTCCGCCGGCCTAGATCAAGTGTCCCAAGGATTTTTGAGGACGGAGAACCACATCCCGGCCGCGTGAGAAGTGCAGGAGAACGGTACAACGACACGACGAAGACCCTTCCATCATCCTGATCTCCGACGTACGAGACGGGCTAGCCAGTGGCCAACGAGACCCCCTTACTATCGTTGCGCCACACCCGTTCGGTTTGGTGAAACAGACGTTTCTGAGGCAGAAGTACAGTGAGGTCCGGAGGGTTCGCCCCCGCTTATTGTTACTGATGCCGATGAGTTTCCCATCCGTCTGCGGGCTAAGGTAGAGCTGCAGCC